TCGCAGTCACCGACGTCGCATGCATCTCGAGAGCGGGACGTAGCGCCGAGAATGATACGTTATCAACGCGTTGAACCGCGTTTAACGTGGCATCGTGGCGACGTTACGTTCTTCCTATCTTTCTCTTTTTTCCTCTTCTCCCCTCCCCTCCTCTCTCTCTCTCTCTTTCTCTCTCTCTTTCTTTCTCTTTCTCTCATTGTCATCGTTTCATCGGTCACATCTTATCTCTTTACAGTTTCACCCTATCGTGGCGAAACCACGAACATACCGCCCCTTCAAAAACAGAACCTCACAGTAAAGTCTTTAGCCTATCACTAGAGTCGCAGTAAGTCCCTAACGGCGCCGATAAAGCGTAAAGCCCAGCTTCCTGTGAAACGTAAAACGCTTTCACCTTGTTTGAGTACAATATACCGACACTTGCGTCTGGCGGTCAGTATGATCCTCCTCGTGATTCTCTCTCGCCCGAGCAGGGTTCCCACTCGCCGAGTGATCTCACGATACTTCCGTTAGGCCTTAGGATCTTCGGGGACGGCCGACGCGCGTCGTTCCGCCGCCGGGGAAGCCGGATCCCTCTCGATCCGGGGCGGTGCGGGGACTCTCCAGGCCTCTCCGGAGATCCGCGAGACGACAGCGTCGGCCGTTCCGGCTTTCCTTCGCGCGATTTTTTTTCGCAATCCTCAGCTTGTAGCATCATGTTGACGCATTTCATGCAACCCCGATGGATCACGATTTTTCTCCCGGTTCTTTCCAGGTGAGTGGGAACCCTGCGGGGGGCTCGGCCTCTCGCGTCTCTCGATACGCCTCTGCACGTAAGTCGCAAAGACTATTGTTTTTACACAAATGTTTCTGCGTGTCTTCTCCTACGTTCGCGCTGCGTTCGATCTGTTTCACTTTTTCTCTCTTTCTTTTCCTGATTTCTCTTTTTGATTTTGTTGTTCTATTCAACTGGTCATGTCACGAGTAAGCTTTGCAAGAGAGCCAGGCTTTTACGCAAGAAAACGGAGTCCGAAACAGGGCCCGAATGACCGTTCTCAGCTTCCCGCCCGCTCGCGGAGGCGTTCTCTGGAGCTGGAATTAAGTACTTAGAAGAAGAGCGGTCATTAGACGCACTCCCGCCTCGAGTAGTAATGTCTCTTCCGTGACGTTGATTTCGCTTGAGGGGATTACCTTGCAACTGGCCGCGGGGAAGCATGCCTGTCTCGACGGGAGTGTACTTTGCAATTGTAATCGGGACGTTTCTCAGCCGGGTTACGATATATTACTTTCATTTCGCTTGAGCGGCTGCTGTATCGTATATTAGTGCGCTAAGGCATCTTACTGTGGCAAGGACGCGACGGATCAGCGTTTAGCCCTTTCGCGGCACCGAGCCGCGACGGGTCCCGTGCCGGAAAGGGCTGGACGGGATCGGTAAAACGCTAGGAAATGCAAATGCTATCAACTTACGACCGAACCTGAGCGCCGTGCCGCCAGCCGCGTCAATCAATTGATACCACGTGTGCTGTTCTTACAGAAATTGGGACTTCCCCAACGGTGGTCCGCCAAGGTATCAACCAGCTGCCGGGGCTCCGCCCCCTTTAAGCACTGAGTACGAACGACCGCCGCCCTATTACTATCCTGGGCCAGGGTGAGTATCTACCTTTCCGGGAGGCGAGACGTCGCGCCGTTCCTTTTCGGACAAGCAGGCGTCTCCTTCCTCCGCGATCACGAATTTCGAGAGACTCCAACGAACTCCGTCTCTGTTTCAGGGATAGAAATTAGGAAACAAGTGCCGTGGCATGCACCAAAGCAGCGCTGAACAGTGTGGCGACGCACAGCCTCACGCGCAGCTACAAGCGAAAGAAGAAGGAGAGATCCGGATGTAAGAGGGACTACGTGTAACAATACCCCGCGTCTTGTTCCCGAGCGTGCCACGGATTGTGCGAGACACCGAGACCAAGTTTAAATACAGACTGAGATAGGCCAATGATCCTTTCGCGACGTCTCCTCCTGCGAGGCGCAACTAACGTTGTAAATCGACGCAAATCCCTCTATTCCATTTAAGCATCACTTAAGAATCAATACTCATGCGTTTCCGCGTGCCGCGGAAGGAGCGCCGGTTCCCGATTGGACGCAGACCTCGGGGAATGCGCCGAATGCTCTTCTCCCTTTCAACGTAAAGACAACGCCCGGATGTGTGTGCAGTGTGGCTCACTCGACATTCGTTTTCGTCTACCGAGGATCGAGATACTTTTACGTCTTACGTATCCTGTTCGATAGAGTAATCGTACGTACAGAACGAACGTTCGATCGCGATGGAGTTGGAGTGTCCTCTTCAAAGGAGAACAGAGGATGAGAATTCCCTTTCGATACGTAATTCCCTTGAACGATACGTAAAGACTGCGCATGATGAACCATGTGTATCTACCGCGATCGAATTGTCTAGCACAAATTATAAATGCTGCCAATCCAGCGTCAGCCGGTTTTTCCGCGCGAGGAGCCTCCTCTACCCTGACTGCCGGACTACCGATCCACGACTTTGCGAGCCCATCGAGCGACGCCATATGAAAAATGCCAAACGACACACGTGTCTTGCGTTCGAAGCGCACGCCACTCGTCGTCGTGCCATGAGTGTCGCGACGGTTCGTCATGTTTGGATCTCGCTCGTCTCTAGTTGAGGAGGGAAGAATTCTGATATTAGATTCTCGTATTCCACCGGGTGCCCAATTTCTATCTCGTGGCGAAGGGAGAGGAAAAGAAAGAGAGAAAAAGAGAGAGAAGGAAGAAGAATTTCCGAGCGGCTCGACGCCGCTCTATTATAAATACTCTGTGTACATGGATTTTTAAGTAGCCGTTTTCTTATTACTCTATCTTACTGTGTAACTTTCTATCGATATAAACCGAGGTCGTTTTTACGTCGCGTAGATCACGCCTGTACGATTCGCTTAACCGGATCTACGCGCCGTACGAAATCTTCGAGCTGTGTATTGTTGCAGCATCTGACGTCCCTCTCCATTCGAGTACAGTAAATTCGTCGGACACGCAAATGCAAAAATGTTTCGTGCACGTTGATTGAACTCGTATACAATGAATTCGAGGATCTGCATGGTGCACTACCGTTATGGATATCGTGAACCAGTCAAGGATTAGTCGAATCATAGTTTATCGTTATCATCTAATTGATAATGCATCCTCTACATCGCTAATTCTTAATGGCATTGTACCACGTAGATCCGTCACATTTGCAAAGTCTGAAAACTTTTAGAATCGAGAAAAAATTGTGACAGAATAAAAGTCACTTATTTCGCAACTACACACGAGGAAGAGATCAATCTGCTTATCTAGAAGACTCGTCGTTTAACGTAAACTTGCACTCGACATTACTGCCAAAGAAAAAAAGAATAAACGTTGCACAAAATTATTACTGTAACTGGAAGACAAGGGATATTGTGAGAGATGTTGCGGAATGAAGAGCAGGAACGGCCGACACCGAGACGCTCTAGTAATTGCTCTCGCACGTGTACAGAGCGAGAGGTGATACCGATGTTCAATCTGATCGTTTAGATCTTTGCACTTGTTGCGAATGAATGAAACGCGACGTTTGTGGTGACGTGAAGCCCTTTCTCGAGTGCATGCGGCATGCGTCGAAAATTGAGTTCGCCGAGATCACGTCAGTTTTAATCCTCGGTACCAATTGTTCTCAGAGAGATTTGAGACTCGAATGCAGAGATTTGAGAGAGGTATCAAAGGCAAAACTCACGTTCCGTAATCTCTTCGGCGGAGAGCACGCCCTTGTGATATTAAGTCGCTTCGAGCTTCGTTGAAATTTCCACGCACACCCTGAGTGAGTTTCCCTTTTGACGCCTCTCGTTGCACGATGCGCCGACCGTGCCGGGGAGCGCCGAGCCCTGATCGGGTGTTGGCAATCGGAATTGCCAAAAAAAAAGAGTCACCCCTTTCCTTCGTGTATCGTATTTGAGATGCGGTGTGAATGGAAGCACGAACATTTCTAGGATAGTAAACGAGAATGTATGAGAAATGCAATGCGTGCGTGCGTGCGTGCGTGTGACGAGCGAGTGAATTGTCGCAATTTATAGCGAAGTAAAATTTGCAAAAGTCCCCGCTGTATCATTACCGTATCTATACCAGTAGCGTAATCTTACTGAATCTACGTCTTTAGTCTATCGACACGATGTATGTATGCGTCACGCGATTCGGAGGAACAATGATGTTTAAATTAATGGAACGTAATAATCGAATAATAATGTATGAATTTCGTGAAGATCTTACAACCCGATATTCTCGAGCATTAAGAAGACGACGAAAACGCGTTTCGGAGAACGAGTGCTGTCAATCAGAGCACGAGATAACCCGGAGAGGAAAAATCTAGTAGCGTATCCTGAAATTCCGCCGAAAAAAAAGATACGATAACACTGAAATTCCTTGATGCTATTTTTGTAACGTGATAACGGTGTAGTGATGACTCTTATCGGGGCACTCTTTCTCCACGTTCGCGAATGCGTCCGAGTAAACGCGATGTAGAGCGCTATCGAAAAGAAACGTTTTTCCTTTGTCTCACCTTTCTGAAGGAGAAGCTAGTTTGAAATCGACAGAGTCGGATTGGAGAGACCACGCAGGGGAGATTCTTCGGTGTACAGAGCACTAGATTTTACATTCATCGACGCAAATTATTCGACTTGAAAAGTCGCACGTAGTATACGATCGCTTTATTTAAAGTCATTCGAGTTTCCTTTCAGCTTAACGCGTACCTATCCATAATTGAACGACTTTATAGCATTTGTCTGCCCAGTCCGATTCGAGAGATTTGATGAAAGAATTTGTGCTTTCGTTGTCTGTCCAGACATTGTTACATTGAATGTTTAAATGTTAGAGTATTCACTCCTGTCTGCTCAATTTCCAAGGGATGCTAATGTTCGGGACACTAGTATCCACCTTCCTTCTTTTGCATCTTGTTTTTTTTTACGCTAAATCTAGCAGCCATTCCATCAGGAATATTTGTGATAAACTGTGACCTGTACAAACGCAAGTTATCGATGCGCTAGGATACTCGCAGTTTTTCAGAAATAATTCGCGTTTTAAGGGTCGTTTGACGATGGAAGCGTATGAGAAATATTGCCATTGACTATGGTGTTTTTTTATAATTCACCGATTGTGTTTGTTAAAATTAATTATTACTATTATATTATTGATATTATATTTAAAAAAACATGAGTGTACTACAGTTTAAATATATCTATTTTATATTAAATCGATAATGAGGTGTTATTTTTAATATACGAGTTTGGTTTTATATGTTCACAAGATGTACAAAAATTCATTGTACATTGCTGTAGAGACAGAACATTATAACTCCTCGTTATAACAAATGTATCGTATTTAAAGCAACGTGCGCTTAACACACGTTACATCGTGCTGCTTATCTATTAAAAGGCATTTTTACGGACGGAACTGATAACCGATATTCACGCGCTCCAATAATACTAGCAGTTTATTCGGTTATCTTTTCCCCATTTGCGCATAACGCGTATTATCTGCTCTACTTGAGAATTGGATGTATTTTTCAGGATTTGTATCACTTCCGTCAGCAGTTCTCTGCGGAAAAGACAACTTACAAATTAATTCTCTATTATACGGCGGTTTCTCACGAGTGTGCGACACGCAAATATACATACTTCGGTAGCTTCTCCGCGACAATGTACTGGAAAGTGCCACAGCAAGCGCCGCGCTTTCCCTCCCAGTTTTCAGGGCTCGGATCCATACGTTCCAGCATATCGAAGGCCTTAGCGGCGTACCAGAATTCGCCCACTTTGTAACACGTATTGGCAATCAGCTGAAGCAGATTGAAAGATTCCGCCGATGTCTCCATCTTTAAATACTGTTCCCAGGCCAGTTCAGCCTTTTTATTCATTATATCTGAGTTGGAAAAGATTATTAAGTAACTACTGAATAATCTACTTGACGAAAGAAGTGAGAAAATTCACAATTACAGCAGTATGACAGAAGGCTGATGTAAATGTAATCATTTCTATATTTTTCGTTACGTATCGTCAGGAAAGCCTCCTCCGCTTCCTTGAAGTAGCCCGCCCCGGCCTGCGCTTGAGCGTAGTTGAAGTTGAAGTTATCCTGATTGGAGAAATACGTCTTTATCGAGTTCAGATACAGCCTGACCCGCTCGAATTGCCGGTAAAGGAAGAAGAAGGACGCCATGCACTGTCTACCGGGTATGGTATCGCATTCCGACGCCGAGGAGCCCACCAGTTGAAAGTACTGCTGTGCAGTCTTTATGCTGTCGCGCTAAAGAAATTTTCGTGGTGAACGCTTTCGCAAAACGCAATTGCGCGAGGCTGACGACGGCTTAAGGACGTACAGAGTTGGTCTCCTGGCCTATAACGGCGTTGACTATGCCTTTTAAAATGTATTCCTGCGGCACCGCCGGCTCGAGATCCTTGATCAGGTCGTAGGCTGCCTTGACGTCGTCCTGTTTCAAGTAATATATGACCAAGTTGAGCCTGGCTTCCGGTATGACGTCCACCAAGTTGGGTAAGATTTGCAAAGCGTTCTCGCCGCCCCTGAAGACCTGCGCGAGGAGCGAACAAGAAGTGTGAGAAGTAAAACGCATTGGACGAGATTGCACGTACAACTGTGTTGTGTCGTATAAGATCGTGGCCGGAGCTGAAGGAACTCGATATCTTCTCGACGAGCTGCTTCATCTCGACCTGCGCGGCGTTCCCGTCGTACAGACGGAAATGATTGCACGCTTTCAAGTTAATCGCGATCGCACTATCCGGATACTTCTGCAGGTAAACTTGGAGAACCTCCTGAGCTACGTCGTAGTAATCTAGCTTGTAGTAGCACAGGGCTACGTATACGTTTAAAGCTAGATAATCTCTGGAAGAATTTATAAAATCTCAATCAAGACCACTCGTCGTATTAAACGGACGTCTTGATTTCTGCGATGATAAAAATGAAGACGATAGGAACGGACTTTGAGGAGGGGAGCGAGTGGACGGATACCTGCGATTCTTCTGCAGCTGGGTGAGGAAATACAACTCGGACTCCATTTTGGAGCCGCGTCTCTTGGTGCTAGTCTTTAAACTTGCGCAAACACGTGAAAAGAGGCGTGAGGCGAGATAGCGAAAAGTCGTAATACGGACAACCAAGTGCCCTTTCCTTTTGCCAAACGAAACGAAAGGGACATGCCAACCTGTTGTCGAGCAAGATTCTCTTATAGACGTCGATCGCCTCTTGATAGTGAGCCTGCAGGTAGTGAATGGACGCCAGACTGAGCTGGTCCTCGATAACGTCCTGCAGCATCTGGTGGTATTCCATCAGCTTGGACTCGTTGCCCATCTTGTGGGACAGGTGAAACAGCAGCCTGGTGCGCAGCTTGCCGCCTTCTGCCGCCGCGTCCTCCAGGACCCTCTGCGCCTCTGGGTTCATGCCCAGGTAGAAGTAGCAGCAGGCGAGATTCGTCGGCACGTCCGGCGGCACGTAGTCCTTCTTCCTCAGGTTTTCGTAGATGGTCGCCGCGCGCCTGTAGTCGCCCAGGTGGAACGCGCAGTATCCCATCCACAGGTCCGTCTCCAGGCTGCCGCCGGTGCTGCTGTTGAACTCGAGCAGCGTCAGGGCGCCGGTGTAGTCCCGCTTCTCCAGGAACTCCTCCAGCTTCGGGATCTCCTTGCGCGACGCCGACGTGCGGACGCCCTCCGACGAGGCCGGCTTGGACCTCGACAGAATCTACCGCGAAACGATCGCGATTCTCACCAACGTCGTCCAACTTTGATCTTACAATTAGCTCGAGTCGTCCTCTGTCTCTTTCCAATGTCCCTTTCTACCAGTGCGGATTAACTTTGATCTCGGTTCAACTCACATCACAGCTTTTTCTAGTTTTAAAAATTAGGAAGAGATAAAAAGCAATTTAAGCCGAGACTAAAGTTAATCTGCCCTGGTAGAAACGGGCGTAAAGGAGCAGTCGGGTCCGTTTCACGTCGCTTAACTTTAAGCTTGGCTCAATTCGTTCTTTGTCTCTTTCCAGCTGTTACTTTAGGCCCGGTTTCACCAACGTTCTTTAACTTTACGCCCGGTCTACAATGAGTTGTTAGTCGTTAGTCAGAAGTCGGAACTATATGTCGGTCTTTTTTCTTCCACCCAGAAAGGAAAAGGATCAACATATAGTTGCAACTTCTGACTAACGACTAACGACTCATTGTAGAACGGGCCTTAAGCTCAGCTGAATTCGTTCTCTGTCTCTGGCCAACTGTTACTTTAGAAAGAGACAAACACGAATTGAACCAAGATTAAAGTTGAGCGACGCTTGGTGAAATCGGGCCTTGTTAGGCTTATTACTCCAAGTAAACGACCCCGTGGTAAACGTCCGTCTCTTTCTAAGGCCCGGTTTCACCACACGTCGATGTGTTCTCTCCTTAGCTGTACACCCAGAAAACATTTTGCGCGCAAACATCTGGCATTATGACGACGCACTTGGATAGAATTTTGCTTGCGTTGTTGAGCCACTTTTGTACGTGAGTTGATAGATATTTGCGCGTAAAATTATACGTTAATACACGAGCCAGCCACTTGCGTGCAAAAGCACAGACTAAACAGATCTTACGGACAAAACTCAAGCAAATCTCATACAAATTTGGATGCGTAAGACAAGCAATTAAAATTTGCGCGCAAGAATTGTTATCTGGGACACTTAACTAGGACAATGTTAATTTCTGCTAGCTGTACTTAAATCGTTCAGACATTGAATTCATATTCCTAACGACGAGCTAGTTGCTGGCATTTTATTTCAATACATTGCTAGCATACTATCTGAGATGACACTGTCAATATTTCGATGACGCTGTGCGACTGAGAAACCGCAGTTTTGATAATGTTATTCGACGAGAAGTTGGAATAGAATATAAAGAATGGAATGAAAAATCCTTTACCATTTTCCGTTGTTCGGTGCACGCGCGTGACCGTATCGATTGCCTCGGGCGCGTTGGCAGGCGATAATGAAACCACAACAAACTGCGGGCGCGCGTCGACGCCACGCCAAGAGTCGGTTGCCACGCAACCGGGATTGTTGCGAGGATTAATGTCCATTTCCATCAATGTGGATTAATTTTAATCTCGACTTAACATAGCTCGCGTTTTATCGGGAAAGGTTTGTTCGCGCATAATTGGAACTCGATGAGAAACAACATTGTTAAAACTAAAAGGAGGTCAGGCCGAGATTGAAATTGATTTACTGGAAGCGGACACAAAAGATGGAAATGGTTCGCAAGCGCCGATGTCAATTGCAACAATTCGAAATTGCTTCGCCCCCGTCGGCACGCGGACCTTAATTGTCTCCTAGCTCCGCGAAAATTCAAGATTCCGGGCACTTTCTACGTTTTACGAATTGGCCTATTTTTGGTGGTGGACCAAACATGGCGCAGCGACGTTTTCGAGAATTCAAAGGCCGGTATTCATAGTCGGATCTTATATTCAAGACCGTCTTGAATTTATCTAAAGATGCTGTATGGAACATTTGATTGGTTGCGGAGTATCTAGAGATGATCTTAAGACGGTCTTGAATATAAGATCTGACTATGAATACCGGTCAAAGTAAAGTTTTAAAATGAGCAACGGGATTAATTCTTTACGAAAAAAAATGAATGTATGCAGTATAACGCCCTCGCTCGCAATTTAAAAAAGTTTAAAAATAAATTAAAAATAAACGGTACATGAGCGACGATTTTCGCTCACAGAACATATTTTACGCATAAAAACGCACAAATTCTGAAAAATTTACAAAAGTCGAAGGCGAGGGCATTATACTGCATATTTACCAAAAATGTATTAAAGAAATACAAAGAAATACATTTAAAAACTTTCAAGACGGCTGTGGAAAATGTATCGCAGGCAAATACTGGATCTGGGAAATAAAGCGGCCTCCACATGCAACGGCGACGTCGAAGAACCGGAAGTGTACAATGTGAAATTGCACACGAGCCTTGAAGCGGCACGAACCAAACATAACCTATTTTAAAGTCGCACTAACCTAACCTCATTTTGCGTTTAGTTGTCAATGTACATACAGAATTTGCGGTACGTTTTAAACATCGCTTGTTATTAACCGTTTACTTCTCGTCTTTGCGCGACGCGCTTAATTTCTTCCTCCTTCTTCGTTATTTCGTCCTCTTTCCCGTTCATGAATTTCGACTGTGCGATTAAACGACGTGTAGATGTAATTTACAAAATTAGGTTGAAAATATCCTTCCTCCCTTCTCGATCGAGGCTTTCGTGCACCTTGGATCCTCCCTTCAAGTTATGTAACGTCTTTTACGTGAAAATAGGACAATAGAAAGTAACAATTTGCGAAGAATTGTATGTTTACGTGCTGCATATACATATACAATAATGTTTAAAATGTACGTGTAAATGTACACATTCTCCTTGTAACTCACAATGTGATTACAACGCGTAGACGGGTCACGTTTAACTCAGTTTGAGCGTTGTTAAGGTGAAAATACATAGCATGATTATTGAGGCCCGGTTTCACCGACGTTGTTTAACTTTACGCTTAGCCTAATTCGTTCTTTGTCTCTTTCCAACTGTTACCTTAGAAAGAGACAAACAAATTAAACTGAGACTAAAGGTACGCGACGTTTGGTGAAACCGGGCCCAGGATGGATTTTGTTGAAACCTCAGCTGAGGTCAAGTCACAGTAGCGCGGAAGTTTCAGAATATTCTAAATTAAGTTTGAGTCTTACAAGTCGCTCCGATACGATCGATCGCACTGCAAGATTATTTTAAAATCTCACTTTGTTACAAACAGGCTGATGCAGAGCAACTTCAGGAATAACATTACGTTTCTAGTATCTGCTTCGTGTAATGTCGGCCTCGAGGGAAAATGCGCCTCTCCGTGCAATCGGTGTTTCCTTATCGTCATCAAGACGGACCTTTTGTTTCTAGGAATTCAAGGCGCATTAGAGTTTTGCCAAATAGCCGTCAGAGGAAATGGCGCAGGCGGAGATCATTGAACTGATGTCGGACGAGGACGAGGAGAGCGGGAAGAAAGGTAATGCGTGCAATAGTAATTGCATCAATTTTAAATGCCGCTCCGGAGTAAACATGAACGTGGCACCTTCCTTCGCGTGCGCATTCTACGGCGCTTCGCTGGGGAAGAAGAGGAAGAAACGCGTGATATGCGAAGAGTGCTTCAACGTTGCACTGCAACATCAGAAGGTGCTTTCACGTTTTAATGTGTTATCAAGTTTGTATTATTGTATCGGATTGTTGACGTACCTTGCTTGCAGCTATTGGTACAAGCCTTTGTGAAGAACACGTCGCTATTAGAGTGTCCCTTTCCGGACCATACAATGGAAGTGGAGATATCCGACAGCGACGATTCCGACGGCGAGAAGAAGGAGACCGATAGTAACGGTAGATTGGACCTTTACTGTTATTTCTAATAGCAATGCCATCGGGAAGGAATTCTAACTTTGCGTCTGTCGTGTCACGATTGTCTTTGCTATTTTTGCAGAATACATACCGGAGGACGTACTTTTAGATATCAGCAATAAGTTAGAGGACACGCTGTCACACGTCTACAAAAAGTACAACGTGGAGCAGCAAACGAAAATCGCGTGCGAGAGCTTGAAGAAGAGGTGGCGGGACGTAAACGGTAAGACGAGTTCCTAATTACGAGGTGCGAGGACGAGGCGCGTGCAAAAGTACGAACCCCCTTCTCTTTTCTCTTCTCTCATTCGGACACGAGACAAGCTTTACATCGCATCGTGCATTAACAGCGGCGAACGAGTCTCTCAATACCGAGATACGGGATATGATGCGTACCGTGGACAAACTGCGGAACAGATTGTACAACGACTTTCGGCCGCAGATCAAAATGCTCCAGGAATTGCAGATCAACGACGAGATCACGGAGACCAGCCATCCGCTTGTAGCAACGAAGAAAGTGACGCAAGTACGCGTGCCACCTTCATTGCTGTTGCAAGACAGTCAGCTGGAGGTCTTGGCGATTGAACCGTTGCGCACCAAGGAGACGATAGTCCCCAATTTGCCGCCGAATGGTCCAGTCATTAAGCGAGCTCCGGCGATAGACGATATCGTTTATATCATGAAAACTCCTGTTATGCCGTGGATCAAGGCAAAGGTTTGTAGAATCTTTTACAAGAGACAGAGGGAAGCGATTGGAGGAGATTGCTGCAAGGATCTTTTTCTTCGTAGGTACAAAGTATAGTCGCGACAAGTCCGTCGTGGATCATTCGCGTGAAACTCGTCCAGAAGAAGTACAATTCGGCGATCAAGACCATATGCGGTAAACTGGTGGCATTAACCGAAGTGAGTAAAGTTATTATCCCGGTTGGGACGCGGGTTGTGGCTATATTTCGCGATGACGTTTCCAACAATTACTACAGCGGGATTATTGCCGAGACACCGAAGTCTATAAATAAGTACAGGTGAGGATCGCCCAGAGGTTCCTTTGACTGATTTATTTATTTTCAGGAAACGATGTTAGTAAGATACATACGAGTTTTCCCACGTGAGAATTTGGAAAATTGTGTACGGCTGAATATAAAATTGTTTAATATTATGTATTTATTAATATATTAATATCATGTATTTATTACTGTAGATATCTGGTGTTTTTTGACGACGGTTACGCTCAGTACGTTGTCCACACCGACATCTACCTGGTCTGGGAGACCTCGCTGCGCATTTGGGAAGACATTCCCAGCGAGTCGCGAGAGTTCGTCAAGAAGTACATGGAATCGTATCCCGAGCGGCCGATGGTGAAGTTGCAGCCGGGTCAAATGGTCAAGACCGAGTGGAAGGGAAAGTGGTGGCTCGCGAAAGTCATGCAGGTCGACGCGAGTTTAGTGCAAATGCACTTTAACGCTGATAAGAGAACCGAATGGATTTACCGCGGATCGACGAGACTGGGTCCTCTGTACATCGAGGCGCTCAGAGCAATCGCGAGGCAGAAACCTCAGCAGCCCGGCAATGCGCACAGCCGACATCGTATTCCCGTCCCGGCTAACGTAAGCGAAGAATAGAGCTTTACTCTTGAAAATATAGAAACTCTTGGACAGTTCCGAGTGAAAAGATTAAAACAGTTCTTTTTTATAAGCGCCCTCCGTCTTACGAGTCGTATTTTCTACAGAAAAATAACTTGCCCTACGTCGAATATACATCCAATGTGGAGGAAGACGCGCAAAACGTGCCAGCGGAGAAAGCGGCAGTCGCCACGAGTGTGGCGTCTGGCACGCCGTCCGCCGCGCCGCAACAGTCGCGTGCAGTGGCTAAGAAAAGCACTGCCAGACGGCAGACTAATGTAGATACAACATACAATTCCACCGTGGAAACGAAACCGTCGCACAGCATTGTCGTGAGTGAATGATATCATTGATTAATGCAATTGATTTATGCAATTGTCATTGTATACATATATAAGCATGTTATGTACTAATATCTAGCATTGTTGCGAGTAAACGATATTAATTAATTAATGAATTATACAACTGCCTATTAGCACGTAATTACGAAGTATTAATGTGCTATTGTAATGCACAGCATGATATTACCTTCGTGTGTTATCGACTGTTCTAGTTTTATCATAAGCAAGGCAAGTTTGAGCCGAAGAAGTACGTCGCACACAAGTGCGGGCCGAAGTGTATCAAGAGCGTCAAGACTTTGCACGAGGATCTCAAAGGGCTTTCTCCGCTCTCTATTCCGCTGCTGTGCGGTTGGCACCGTCAGCTCTGCAAGTTCTCCAAGGGCAAGAAAGTTATACTGTACCAGACACCGTGCGGCGTCAGATTGCGAAATATAGAAGAGCTGCACCGTTATCTCCGCACCACCAGCAGCACGTTGTCCGTCGATCTGTTCGACTTCGACTATTGGGTGCGCGCTTTCGCCGATTTTGTCGTGGAGAAGTGTTTCATTAACATCAAGGTAAATCGTGGAAATGTAAAACTTTATCTAACAACGCGTGATTTGGTGTGGAAAGAAAAATACTGATTTCCTGTAGATACCAGAATATCCAGTTATGTTTATTGTACCGTGCTATAAAAATTACACGTAGATTTTGAAAAACATGAGGATAATTCTGTGGCTTCGTATTTAAAAGGATCTCAGTTACGGCGTAGAAAATGTGCCGATAGCGTGCGTGAACGATTTGGATCACACGCAACCGGACACCATAAAGTACACCACACGTCGGGAGCCAACGGAGGGTGTTCATCTCAATCTGGACCCCGCGTTCTTGTGCAGCTGCGACTGCGAGGACGATTGTCAGGTACGAAATCGTCGAACTGCCGTGCGATTTGCGCCAAGTCATGCGCTTCATCTTGCTCATAATATACCGTAGGACAAAGAAAAATGCCAATGCTGGCAGATGACGATACAAGGGGCGACTCTGGGTGGAAAAGTGCCAAACACCGCTGTCGGTTATGTTTACAAACGCTTGCCGGAACCGGTCACCACGGGGATCTACGAGTGTAATTCGGGCTGCAAGTGTTCCGTGAAAACGTGTCTCAATAGAGTGGTGCAGCATCCTCTCAGATTGAAGCTGCAAGTATTCAAAACAGGACCGCGCGGCTGGGGCATAAGGTGCCTCAATGATGTTCCTCATGGCGCTTTTATCTGTATTTATGCAGGGAGATTACTCACCGAACAGGTATGGACGATTACAACGCAATCTTAGACGCGTCTGTCTGTCAATTTATTATCTTGTACGTGCTTTTTTTATTACACAGGGCGCAAACGAAGGGGGCAAAAATTACGGCGACGAGTATCTGGCCGAGTTAGATTACGTGGAGGTGGTAGAGGGTTTCAAGGAGGGCTACGAAAGCGACGTTCTCGAACCGGAATTGTCGGTGTCGTCAACGGAGGATGACAGTAAGAAGAAAGCTAGCGACGAGGAAGAGGATAACACGAAGGAAAGCACCAATGACTCGGACGAAGATTTCAATATTGATAGCTATGTGAATTCCAATAAAGATTTGTTGGAAACAACCGCGGAATCTTCGTCTATTAGGTATCCGTTGTATTTCATACTACTAACTCATGAAGACATACTATACTTAAAAAATACTTGGCGCATACTATTGCGTCTCTCGTTATGGAACTATGTCATAATGAGTTTCTTCATTTCTTAGACCATTGTGCTAGTGCATGCAATATTTAAAAATAATTTTTTTTTATTAACTACTGACTGTTATTGATTAGACTAGGATGTTTATGTAAATGAGGCAAATTATAAAGAGGGCTTTATTTCCAGGAAGCGTCTAAGGAAACGAAAAAGACACGAAAGAGACAATCCACCAAATGCATTCGAAGAAACCAGCGAAGACGGGAGTATAACGAGAGGTTTGGAAAATATGGCAAAATCGTTTTTGACTGAGACTCACGATACGATCAATATCAGCGACGACGATGACAGTAGAAGTGACATAAGAGAACCGAGTAGATTTGAGCCTAGTGTAGAACCAAAGGAAATAGAGGGACCAAAATTGAAGTCCGTGAGAGATTACTTCGGCGAAGACGAAGCCGTTTACATTATGGATGCCAAAACTACTGGAAATATCGGCCGTTACTTGAACGTAGGTGACAACAGATTAAGGCATTTAATTCTTTATCTTTTTATTATTTGAAAAAAATTGCGGATTCTTAGAGATGCTCAATAATCTTTGAATTTTGTATTTTTTTTTTACAACTTTGAGAAAGTTTTCGAGTCGTGATTTAATATCTTTGCACTTGCGAATTATGAATTTTTCATACAAGTCATTCTAAATGCCTCTTTCAGCACTCCTGCGATCCAAACGTGTTTGTGCAAAATGTGTTTGTCGATACACACGACGTGCGTTTTCCCTGGGTGGCTTTCTTCGCGTTACAATACATAAAGGCCGGACAAGAGCTTACGTGGAATTACAGTTACGATGTGGGAAGTATACCGGGTAAAGTGATTGTTTGTAAATGTGGTGCGGCTAATTGTAGAGGCCGTCTTCTGTGAACTGTGCATTTTGTGGTAATAAATTTGGCCCTTTTTATAAATGGAACTCATTTTCTCTAGCAAAGTCGACAGTAAGTATACGATATGCAGGTGCCATGCTACAGTCGTCGCTTATCTTTATCGGAAAAAAGTTTGTGAGAGAAATAAACAAGTGCATAAAGACATGAAACGTACATTTATTTGAAAACACTTCATATATGTATAAAAAATCTGCAGTGTGGCGTTTGATCTTTTATGTATCATGTAGATGTGACATATTGCTTAGTTGATACAATTTTTTTGCAATTTCTGTAAATAGTAGGTGTAATTTTATAATATGAAAAAGTACATTTCTTTTCCTCTCTTTCGGAAGCGCGACATCTACGGAATGGCTTTACGACTGGAGAAAATGAGAGCAGCGTTTATAACAATGATGTATTTGCTTATTACTTTTGATTATTGTACATTCTTAGCATCCATTAGACACATTACACGTTGTTAGCGTTGCAAACGTATTACTTGTTTTTTTTTATCGCAATTTATACATACGTCGTTCAGAATTCAACTCAGCACACAGGTATCTCAAAGGAGAGTTTTTGCTCTTTGCTTAAGAGTACAAGGGGCTCGTATGTCGCCGCCATGAAAATATATCGGATTTAAAATGGAATAATATGCGATTCGAGCGATCGTGACATAAAAATGTATAAAAAGGCTTTCGGGATTTATAAATTAATAACAAACAATATGTGCCGCCCTTATAGAATAGATCAAAATATATATCAAAATTACATTATGTATATATCTGTATATATGTACGATTTAAATTTAAATTAAACTAACTCTCGTAACCCGTCACTCAGCCACGAAAGAATAATATCTTGTTACGATATAAATCTGTAACTTATATGTATATTTAGAACCATGAAGGATTAATTACCGCGAGAAGTCATCCGTCATGTAATTTCTCGGCATGCAATACATTATCATTATTATTATTATAAAACAGCATCCGCGTACCCTATGTTCATTTAATTTAGAGTGCTTAAATACGACGTACTCTAGTCATCATAGGCGAGAAATCAAAACAAAGCTGGTAGAATAGTCTCTCTCTATAAGGAGGAACACGAACGTACTAAAGTAACAAAATTATGATTCCGCATTTTGTTTGGCTTTATGCTAGTGGAGCTTCAAGAGCTGCTTGATCTCGTCCTTGTCGGCCGCGTCCACGTAGCTCTTGCCGTCGGGCGTCAGGCCGTCCGGCCTAGCGCCTTTCTCCAGCAGCAGTTTTACACAGTTCGTGTGCCCCTCCCAGACCGCCGCCAGCAACGTCGTGATTCCATGCTTATCTGTAGCCTGCAAGAAACAACACTTATCTGCTGCACTCGACGGTACATATCTCGAGCTACGTAGTTAAACAAAAAAAAAATTGTTATCGTGGAAGACAGAAAATTAATTTTACAGAAAACATAGCGCACAACATATGCTATTATTTGTCTGCAAAGGCTTGTGTCCAGGATGCTAGAACTCGGTCCACGTTCTAGTCTTGAGTATTCCATAAAAGCTGCAAGTTCTAGCATCGTGGATACAGGCCTCAATAATTAATTATCCTACGGTGGGTTTTCTTTTCGAGTATTGTGATCAATTGCTAATCTCTTGACCCGTTACTCACATTGACATTTGCTCCTTTCTCCAGTAAATATCTGACAACTTCGCTCTGACCGTAGTCCGCTGCATAATGTAGTGGCGTCCTTCCATCGATTATTTGATTTACATCAATGTTCTAAAAAAGATAGCAACAATTAGATGACGAAAGAGACTTCTCCAGCTTAAACAGATTAACAGCACAATACTGTTAACTGCAGTACAGTAAGGTGCAGCGGCAAGATGTTATTTTCGCGTTAGAAATCTTCGTGACAAGACCAATAAATGTCTCCAATATTGTATACATTAAATTTTCAACCTTACGAGATCAAAGTAACGTTGCACGCCCGTGTAGACAATCAAAATTAACATACTAATAACACAAGTACTATTTCCATAGAATAAACCTTACAAGGAATGACCGAAAGGGAAACAAACATGTGCAGCAAGTTGGAGCTTGCAAACAGACAAGAAAATTGAATGTGAAAAAAACCGATTGAAAGAAACTCGCGGTATTTCCCATACGTTACATTGACGCAAGTGCTACTTCTTTACGATTCTTCATCCACCAGTAAGAAGAATTGTCAATACACTCTAGCTACAATGCGCTTTCTGCATCTAGAAAACATTCTATTTTGTACAAACAAATAAAAGCGCTAAAAAAAAATTTCTCGACAATGTACGACAATGCACAAATTTTTTAAACGTATTTATTGACTACAAAATATATAGAATGTTTCTAGATGCTGAGAGTACACGTAGATTAGGCATCAACGAAGAGACTTTCGCGTCGCGATATACGCGACAGCGAGAGGCACTGGACGAGGTTGAACTCCCCGTAGTTTTCGGATCGCCCGTTCCGGGTCGGGAGGCAAAATACAGGATGCTCGAGCGAAGGGAACCAGGGCAGAGTCTGCCCGATGACAGAAGGGACGTGACACGATCCCGCTTCCGGCATTGAAACGCGCGTCCGTCTCCGCGCGACGGACTGTCGGAGCGCAATAATATCCCACATGCTCAACAGTCCAGAAAGACGGGGAGCGCGATTGCGACGCGTTCCGTTCCTTTTTTTTTTCGTCGTCTATTTAAACGCGATCTCAAGGGCCAATATCGTATCCTATTTGCCTTGTTCTCGACGATGTCCCGCACTTGCTCGAGATCGCCGTTCTTTATCCCCCAAACGAGCTCGCTCATTCTCGTCGCCGTGTCGCTGATCGGCTCCCGCGGAGATCCACACGACGGACGGTCGTATCCACGCTGCGTAACGTCCGCTCTTTCCTCCGCTCCTGTCCGCTCCGCGCCGCGATTATTCGTCCATGAAACTCGACGAGGCTCCGGCTCCGGCCACCACAGACGACGACGACAACGACAGTGCGCCGACCATGGACGTAGGAAATATCTGGAGGGAGCGTAAAATACACTTAAGCCTCCGCTACAATGATTCTCGGTTCTGTCTACAATGGTCGTAGTCGTAAGAATAATCGACTGCGATTGGTCAAATCAGTCAGACGCATAAGAATTGACCAATCGCAGTCGATTATTCTTACGACTACGACCATTGCAGACAGAACCGAGAATCATTGTAGCGGAGGCAACTTTCGCGGTGAGTTTCGGAACGCCGAGCCGAGGTCGATCGGTCTGGTGACTGGTCTGTCGGACGGGATCTCGGATGTGTCGAGCGATGTTTCTCTCACACGTCAATTTGTAACGAGTAACGTCCCAATTTTCTCTCCGTTTAAAGTTACACTCGTAGAGGCAAAATGGCAACGCTCGCCCGCGTCGGAATCGCGCGACTCGGATACAATAACCTCACTAGACAATTATGTAAGGTTAGTATTAACAGATTTGTGTTCCAGAGTTTATTTTTGGTGTAGGCGGAGGCACAAGTGCGCCTTGGCAGTTCGATTAATCGTCAACGTAAGTGAGAATCATCGTGGAATCGTTTCTCCGTGATGCTCCAGAGCAAATTATACGCGCGAGCGTAAATTCTGTCGGTGCTAAATGTCATGTTACATTGACTGCGGGCTGCACTTGACGCTGCAAACGTTCTTCTCTTCTCTCTTCCTTTAGAAGAAAGAAGAATAGTGTCTCGAAGCGTATGGCCGATGGCAGAGAACGATCCGTAAACGC